CTTTCACCTTCTTATGATTAAAATTGCAATTTCCCATTGGCTTTCTTTTGGGGAATTCATCCATGTAAAGAATTACTGTGTGATATGACACTGTGTGATATGACACTCTTCAGTGTCTGAAACGACTTAGGCTTCTGAATATGCCTTTTCCAATGGACTTTGTGCTTGCAGAGAAGTCTCAAGAGGCCTTTGTGTACCGGTATAATATGTAAAAACAAATATTCGCTGTGTTCGTTCTAACTTTCCCTTCTCCTTGTCAATTTAGTGGCAACGCAACATGCTATAGATCTGAGAAGTACCAAGTTACTGGACGGAAAGCTGTATTTTGGCTTTTGACTGTGTCAAGGTACAAACTTACTGGCCTGTTGGGTCTGATACTGACCTTTTTTGGTCAAAATTGGTTTAATTGGTAATGGGATCTGGGGTTATTCAGCTTTGTTATGAGGTGGAAACACAGATATCAATTGCTGCTTTCTAACCTTTTTTGTGTTTTGAGAAATTGTTTTTAACATGTATACTGCTGTAGATGACACAATAAATGTATTATCATTTTGTATAAGTCTGTTCTGATATAAAATTGCACCAAAGAGAACTTTTTGTCTGTGAAGTTACAGGGTAGTGTATTTTTTCCTATAGCAGTGGGATGGAGTATTTTGGGCTAAACGGGTTACATTCCTCCCTCATGGGAAGGACTCCCTGGATTCTGCTGGACAAAGTCAGTCCTGAACCAGTGAGGTGTGAAGTCTTTGCCATTAGTGGGCCGTGCACGCTCTCCCTTCACCGTCAATCAGTGGAGTTAAGTGTTTAGCGCACTGCATCGATATCAAGAATGACTATGACCTAGTACTGCCAATAAAAATGCAACACACTCCCCATTGCAACTTATGGCCCCTGTAGCTCTGAGTTTTTATCCACAGGTCCTTTGGAGCCTACCTATTATTTCTAAGGGGTCTAAAAAGGAAAGTCTGCGGTCTGCAAACAAAGGCACTGCCTCTTGGCAAAGGTGGAAAAAGATTAGGCTCTACAATATCTGATATACTTCAAGGCTTCATTTCTTTTATAGTCAAAGCAAACCTCAAAAGTTTTATCATCAGGTTTGTTTTTCAAAAGATCAGGTACATTCATCCTACTGAAACAGAGGACTCCACAGTAGATGACCTATTTCTGATATTTCTCCCACCTTTTTTCCTCAGCTTCAGCTACTCTTAAGTCTTTGTCTGGTCCTTGTGGGTCTATGAATCCTTCACAAAGGTTACATTTTTAAGTTGTTATTCTCCCTTATTCTTTAGCCAAAGTACAGATATTTGGAGCCTTGTCCTTCCATGGTCAAATGGACATATATCTATTGGAAGTGAGATGTGTCAGGGAGCAGCCAGGGCCATCTGATCCTGAGGGATGGGGGCTGGGAGACAAGGGGCATTGCATGGGAAGCGTACTGGGCCGGTCACAGCCCTGGTGAGGATGCACTCTTCATGTTTTCCAGGCCTGTCTTTTTTTCCCAATGACTTCTACCATCCCACTACACAGCTCTGAAAATCCAGCTCTGGGTGGATTAGGCATTGACAAAGCAGGTCAAGCTGCCTGCTGAAGGATTTCTTTTAATCTGGAGTCCACACAACCAAGCTTTCTGCAGAAAAAAATGCTGACACTGTAAGAGTTAAAAGGCTACTCTTGACGAGAAATTTCAGTCACCTTAACAGCATACTTTTGCTGCAATATCAAGAAAAGCAGATGAAATAGTTGGTTTTAATCTTTCCAGGGTGTCACTTAGTTTTAAATGGGATTAAAAAAAGAGTACTTGAAGAGTTACACTGTGTAAAAGATGCCAGGGAATTACAGGAAGAGAAAACAGCTTTTCCTACCTGATATAGCTTAATGTGGATTGCAGCTGTCCTTTGGCAGTCATCTAAATCTCGCTCAGGAGAGAGCATATCTCAGGTTTGTGCTGGCTATGAGCAGGTGGCAATGTGTCGGAGCATTGCCTAACTTTCTGGACTGCACACATGCAGACAGGCCAGCAGCATGCTCAGCACACACTGTGCACCACGAGATGGCAGTGCCTCCACGCAGACCGCACAGCACTTCTGGACACGCTTGTGACAACCCCTTTGCTGCCTTCTCAGGCCTGCTGTGAAGCAACATATCCCCGAAGCGTTCCCTGCTCCTACACACACCATCATGTCCTCAGATGTGCCATCTAGAAGAGATTAGCAGACTTTTCATAGCCCAAGCAAATCTTTTATCCAAGAAACTTTTGCATGCTCCAGGATTATTAACCTCATCACCAGGTTATTCTGAGTGTGCCCTTTATATAAATTATGTAAATAGTGGCTTTATATATATACAGAATATCTTCCTATAGCCCTTAATTCCGGTTTACAGTTTACACATCCTGATTCAGAATGTCTGAAAAGTAAAAGGCTTGGAAACATTGATAGCACCGGGAGGGACACAGGGATATTTTGGACGAAGAACTGGCAGAACAGATGGCTGGTGTGTTGCTGAGGTTACTGGAGAACTTTCGAGGCATTGGGCTGGATCTCTGTGAGATGAGTTTCGAGGGTTTGGAAAGAGCTTGAGGCAAACAGGATATCTGGGGAGTTAATGCAAGCTGAATGTGCATGGTGATGGTATATGGGTACAAACCAGCTTGTGGGGTCTGGCAGGAATGTTGGGGTAGTTAGAGCTGTTGAATTTTTATGAGGAGACTGAACACTCAACGACTAATGGAAAGATCTGCCATGGTGTACTGGGACCTATCACCTTTGCTGTCATTTCTCGTTCCCCTGGATCCTTTGTCCAGTAAAGAAGCTCCCCAGTAATAAAGAAAGAGAACATACAGTGGGATGAGTAGTCTTAAAAACAAATGCAGGCCATCCTGGGAGCTCAGCTGGGAAGCAGGAATTGCTGTGTGACACAAGGTGACTGATGCATGCACCACATAAATAGTGAAGTTAGGTGGAGAGAAAGTAAAGGGGAGATTGTAGTGGGAGAAGATGCTTTCATAACATAAAGCCTCAGGCCAAGTTTTTTTCAGAAGAAATGCTCCCAGGTCAGCCAAAAGCAGAAGCATAATTCACTCCAACTTTGTTCCCTCCCAAAGGCAAATGAAGAGATATGGGTCAATTCTTTCACATAGACCACTCAGTAACGTTTACCACAACTATTTCCTCCAGAAAACATTCAGTAGTCAGATACCGGAGCTAATGGTGTTCTCTCAAAAATGGATAGAAGCAGGGTACCACAGACCTTTATCTTAGTGACGGTGTCTTGGAAGGGGAGTGGGACATTAACTCAGGCTGCAGGATTCTATAATGTAAATCTTTTCTCGGATGAAAAAGTCAAAGTTGTACGTATTCATTGGTTTTAAAATGGTATCCATAGTAAGTACAATCACAAGACTGTCCTTTTTTTATAACATCTCAAATGAAATATCAGAACTGATGTAATTAAAATTTACAAACTCAGAACAGCTGTAATAATCACTTGCATTTTATAGATGTACATCATACAAATGTGTTCACATTACGCTAGGCAACAAACTTAAACAACACAGGCACAAAGTTTACTTTTACAACAAAAACTGATAAGGAGGTCAGAATAGACAAAATGACACCTTATAGAGGACATCTGATTTGTTGGGACAGATAGGTCAAATATCTAATTAATAAAGGACTGATCTGAATCATGTTTATAGAAATCTAGACAATTCATCTCTGCTCTAATAATGCAAGTAGAGATGAAGCATCTAAAAATCAACAAAGAGGTTTCCACAAAGTCAAATGCCTCCTGGACTAAGTAATTAAACAAGAGTAGAGCAAAAAGGGGGACTGGAGCACTACTTTTTAAAGCTAAACCAATATTGCTGTTCACAGAAAGCCAGCATGTGCTTGAATGGCCATGATTTCTAGCAGTGCTTTCAACTCTGAATGCAGGTTCTCCTAGGAATGGTCCTATCCTGAAAGAAACTATAGCTGTGTCCAGTGGCCCTTGTGTGCCCTTTATTTATTTTTGGGGATCTTGAGGTAGAGACCAACTCAATCCTGAAGAAAGAGGAAGGCCACCCAAAGAAGTGATGCAAGCACAACCCTGGTTCGCTTTGTTTTACTAGGCCATACTTTGCTTCACTAGACTGTGCTGTTGTGTTGATAATTCTGACCCCAGAAAGATCATTGAACGGAGTAATAATGAGCTGAGAAATGATGGACAGGGCTGAGATAATCCCAGCCAATTAGTCCTGCACAAAACCGCAGTTTGTGCCTTCCAGCAATGGATCCAGTCAATATTCAAGGTTATGGCAGCAGAAGGTCTGTTCCAGCTACAAAAGGACCAGCATCTGGGCACTAAGACTAGGTCTGTAAGATGTTCTGAGCTCAAGGTAGCCCAGCTGGCTAATGTTCAGCTACTCCATGTTAACCCATGGACAAGAAAGGACTTGGGGTCCTCTGCCTAATTTAAACAGGCATAGAAGAACAAAACCCAAGCAGATAATATAACTCGTTCTTTTTTTGTGTCACTCTTGAAACACCTTGAGATTCCTTTTAAAGGAGGTTGCTGCTCCATACATAAGTGTTTAGCAAGTTTCTGCCTGTAAGTCACATTAAATTGGCTTAAGTTGACTCAAAACAACTAGCAAAATATCACTAATAATTATGGTCAACCTTTCCCTCCTAACTGTTTTAAATTAAGATTAGGAATAGTGCTTTTGAAAACTGGAAATTTTGGGAAACTAACAAATATGTGACAAATATGGGAGGAGTGAATGTATTTCCTTATTTTGGGGATTCACACTAGCTCAAGGTCTGGCTTTTCACAACAAAACAAGTGGATTTTGTATGCTTAAGGGCAGACAGAACAAGGTTTGTGATGCTGGTCTCTACCAGGCAAGAAAAGCAGCTCACACTCAGGACAAGAAATTCACAGAAGGCTCTTGACACTATGGAAAGCTGTAAGGTATCAAAGCTGGCCGTCTCCTAGGTAGTACGTTACAATGTCACAGCAACTCATCCTGCTAGAAAAGCTCAGACAGAAGTCACACCGTTCTGGTACGCAGATGTTTTCCTTTTCGGACTGTTTTTTTCAAGCAGTGATAACTGAGTGACATAGTTAACTGGACTGTTTTCTCTGGACAAAGTCCCATGTTTGTGTACAAAGTTCAAGTATTCTTGATACTGCCATTTGCACAGTTGTTTCTTCAGTTCACTTTGAACCTATAGAAAAGGCATGTAAAAACAAAGAATCAGAAAATTAAGAACTAGAGGACATAGAAGGTAATATATGTCAAAATATCTGCCTGACTTCTTTGCTCAGATGCACAAAGGCATACAAATCAGTCAGGATTAAGCTTCAATATGTTTTCAGAAGAACTTAAACTACATCTCTATTCACTTTTGAAAATAAACAGGCTTAATTTCCAAAATTCAGAGGACAACAGGGAAGTTTTTGACTGCAATCTGTTTATTGTTGTAGGTCTCCTTCATAAATATTTCTACCTTTTTGCACAATTTCTATTTTTCCTCATACTGAACCTTCCGTGCCTCCTTGCTGTGACCTGCTATGTACAATAAGGGTCCTTCTTCAGGCTTTCAGTTTATCCAGATTGAATTCCCTCTTAAAGATCTCTTACTGACTCTGAAAGATACTAAATCAACTTGATTACATATCACATTTGAGAGGTCTCAGGGATCCTCAAAAGCATAGGCAAAACTGATTTTTTTTTACTGTCTGCCATACAACTAACAGGTAGGTTGAACAACTCTGGAGGTCCATGACCTGCTGTTGACACTGCTGAGACTGGGGTGAAGGGACAGGGGGAAAGCAAGTTCTGTTGCCCTACATAAAACCACTCCCACTCAAAACTGTAGCAGAGGGAGTGTAAGTAGGTGCAGGAAACACCCAGTCCTTGCCACCATTCACATGAACAGGCTGCTCCTGTGGATTATTTGTTGGCTGTGCCCTGTTACCTCTGTTCATGTTCAGCTTCATCTTTATCTGCTTCTCCTGCAAGTGGGGTGGCTCTCCTGAATGTCTACCAAGTGACTTACAAATTCCATCCAGAACTAAGCAGTTATCTCAAGTACTTCTAACCACATAGCTGCCATCTTCTGTGGTTGTCATTAGTGCTCAAAATCTATGACAGTGTTACAGCTGTAGCACAAACCCACTCCCAAATCAAATGCAGAAATAAATTGTTAAATGAAATTATTAATTCTTACAGGGGATGGACAAATGTTATTTAAATACTCTGAACTTAGGAATTCATCTAGTAATCCTGTTATCTAATCCTCTATTAGATATGGCCTTTACAGCAGCACACAGAAAAGAGTGTGGGACATGCAGAAGTACATCTTGGATATCAGGTCTCCCTGCAAGTCACTATCAATATTTATCATTGAGGTGGCCCCTATTCTGCCTTTATTCTCTCTGTGAACCACACAGACATGCCAGCCTCTGTGTGCAACTTCAAGTATGGGCAGAACATGCCCTCTGGAGCTTTTGAGACTCTCGTAAGTAAAAGAGGGGTTTCCTCCACCAACTCAGTAACCCAGTATTATCCCAGTAAGCTCCAGGCCCTTCAACTCCTGTGTACAATAGCAGCTCTCAGTTTCATCCCATACAGATACTACCTTGCTTGGCAGCAGCACAGCTTCTCACATTGTTGCAAATACTTTAAACTGAAGAGACACACACAGAAAATAATATTTCTTTTTTATGATTGCAGGGAACCATAACAGATGCCCTGCCAAGTTGTAATGAGCGGCCAATCTGCTCCAGAAGCAGTTATCCCTAAGCAGCATGGACACAAGCCAACACGCACCGCTTAATCTTGGGGCCAGAGATCACTCTCTGCCTGTCCCTTTTTTAGCACCTAGGAGATTTGTGTGTTGTGAGATACAATATGCAAGCTATTTAAAGGCTCTTGGCAAGCAGTCTATGCAGACAGAAGGCAGGTGGGAAGTAGAGTGTTCTGTAATTACAGTTAGTCTTGAAGGCACTCTCTCAGAACAAGCACTGGATTGGCCATTATGAATTGCTTTCCTAAGTAACAAACATATTTAGGCATTATTTATTCTTAAGTAGGATTAATTTCACCTACATTTAGCCATCCCTATGAGAAGTGTCCAGCCTAAGCTAGTAGGGAGACTGAGGCACTATTAGTGGGCCATTCTTCTCATCTAACCTCCAGACTTTTCTGAAGATGAGATGTAGTTTTACATTTTCTCATGGCTTTTGATTCATTCTGAGCTTTTGGGGAAAGTGCAAGCAAATTTAGCTAGGCTTTACAATGATAGGCTCTTTAAAATGTACTACACGGAATTTATCCAAATTCTAACAATGTTACAAAAACAGGAAAGAAAACGTTTGAACAAAACTGCTGAAAATGCACAGGCTGCCCTGGAAAAGGGAAAAGGAAGAAACTCACTAGCAGAAAATAAACCTAAAGAAAGTAAGGAGTGTTACAAGCTTTCCATTGAGACATCATCACAATAGCTATCAGACATAAAGCAGAAAAAAAGTCCCCTGACAGGAAAGTCACCAGCCTTGTAAAGGGTCATTACTTCAAAGCTTATTCTGTGTCCTTCTGTGAGAATTTTATGAATACAAATGAAGTCAACAAAGGTACCAAGCGGAAAAAAAGGATACAGGTATTTCATGCTTTCAGGAGCAGATCAAAGCACAGATCTGTTCTGGAAATAGGAGAAAAACAAAAACCACCAAAAACCAAACAAACACAAGAGAGGTCCATGAATTTAAAATGTTTTGATAATCTTGTGCACTTGCTACTCACCTCTGCATTTGAGAAGCAATATAGAAGAGCAACAACAAAACCCTAGGAGAGGGAGGATAGGGGGAAAACAAACAACCGTCAGGATTTAAAGCATAGAATCAGAGAAAGACATCAGGTTTCATTCAAAATTTGCATAAGACAGCAAAAATTACATATTTTCCATTGTTCCATTGGAATTAGGGTGATGTGGCACTATATATTGGGTTTTCATAATGGGATTAAGTTCCTCAATGGACTGGTGGCACTGTATGTATATTATTGCCCTTGTATGGAGACACTGAAGACTAAATTAATGTTTACTGTATCCTAGAAACAAGTTCTCCCTCAGATAAGGCAGTAGGGCCCTCTGTCTTGTTCTAGTCTATATTTACAGTAGTGAATAAACAGGTGAGGACCTGCTCTTGCTTTGCATTTTTACTGCTAAACTGTCTTCTTTCACTCACCAGTGGGTGACTGTGTTCAGCCAACAACCTGTTGGGAAAGGTCTGGGGTTCATATTCACCCAGAACTACAGTCAGGCATTGTTTGGGGGAGTGTTAGTTAGCAGGGAGGCAAACGTTTACACAGACTGTGCTAGCACAGGCAAACACAGAGTTAGACTGCATCTGTATTACCAAACAAGGCACAGCCCTGAATACTGGCCTTTGCTTCTCTGTGTGGTTAAAATGTCAACATGGTCACAGCTTTGGCTTGGACCAGCAAGTATTTTCCCAGAGACTGGCCATGGTTGAGAGGTAAGCATGGAAGAGAGAACATTTTCAACCTGTAACAATATGGACAGTTGTTGAGGTGTACAGGGGAAAGTGGAAGGAAAAAGACCTCAGCTATTGATTACAAAGCGTACCATACCCAGACCCTAGCCTCTCAATTCCAAGATATTGTTCTGAACAGCGGTATGGCAAAATAAAGAAACAAGGAAGTATTAACATGATAGATTCACTATTGCTTAAGGATAAGGGCAGAACAGGTTTTTATATATTATCCTTATTCTTTCAATCCTCCTATCACCTTTATTATATGTGGAATTAGTTTCAATCGGTTCACCTTAATCCGTAGACTGGTCTTCATGGCACTCTGTCATTGTTATTCAATAAAGGTAGATACTGTGTCTTTTGTGATTATTAACATGAAGTCTGGGTCAGAACTCAAAAGCAGTGTAAGATTTCAAATAATAACATAAGGGAACAAACAACAGAGAGAGCTTTCAAAGGAGTAAGATGGAATGTGTGTTTTGAATTTAGACACATTATTAACATCTGCTCTAATGACTAACCTAAAATGCAAAACTCTTGAGAGTGTGGTGTTTCAGACCAAGCCACTTAGGACTGATAAACATCTTGTCCAGCTTACCTGAAAAGAACCCAAGCCCAGCTCAATATAAAGGCGAGCTTCCAGACCAGTGCTTTCTGGGAAAAATGCAAATACAATGTAGTGCACTCCAAAGAGGGGGATTAAGAGTAATGTAGATTTAGCAAGTCTCCTGGCAAATCAAAAATTAAAGAAAATGCACTGTTAGAAATATGGAATTAGTGATAGCCATTATATGTTGGAACAAATTTTAGAACAGAGGACAGCTCCATAATGGAGGCAACTACATCCAATGTAGTTACAAAAAGATTACTTTCTGCCACTCCCTGTCAACACCTGGAGAACAAAGATGAACAAATCAGCATGCAAGATTCCTGGACTGAGCTTTAAGGGTTCCTTTCCCTCCTATACACGCAAAAACCAGGGGCACCAGACTAAGTACTCTGATCTGCTCTCCTGAGACTAATCTCAATCGCATGTAGGTATCCCCCACAGATGTGTCTCAACTTCCAAAACTGTCAATGGAGATCTAATGCCACCGGTGATGTCCTGGGGTATTCTGCTTGGCCTTCAGCTCACTCCAGAAGGGCACAAGTTTATTCTAGGTCCTGTATCATAATAGCCATACCTATATATCTTCAGATGAGTTAAATACCTCACTAGAGTCCTCTGACTGCAGTGATGAGATCCCCATCGATTGTGAAGGGGATCCTAAACAGGAAGGACTAGGTTAAATTGCCAGAACATCAGCATCATGTTACTGATAAGAAATTAAAGGAAATTATCTGCATCTTTCTTTATGCGGCCATTTGTGTGGAAAGGACTGGAAGCAAGGTGGATGCATTACCTGACATTTAGTGTTTACACTTTCAAGCTGGATCCTTTTGGAATTGTAACACTTTATAGTTTACTTTTCTTTGTCCCTAACACATCCACCCCACCCTTCTTCCCCTGAAGAAGAGAGGTGTGATATTTGGGATGAAAAGTTTACATTGTTATTTCTTCTGGGGATTTCCCTTTCTCTTAGTAAGGAGAAGAACATTTTGTGCACCTGCCCATAAAACATTTCTTACAGCAGCTAGAACAGGTCAATGTCAAGAGACCCAGAAATACTTACACAAAGTGGCTTAAATGGCTCCCTCTTCCCTCTTGAGATTTCAATTTATGGACTAGAATTCTAATCACATTAATAAATATAATAAAGTTAATCTGAAAAGACAAGACAAAAAAATGGTAAACTTACTACAAATCAGGACATCTCTTCAGTTGATATAAATTAAGTAAAAATCCCCAGTCACAGGAATTACACTGCTCTAAACTACTGCAGATCTGGTCTCAGATCAAATCAATTAGAAATAGTATTAATTTTTTCCACCAATATATAGTTATGCATAAAGATATGCTGAAAGTTATGTTGTTTAATATAGACCTAAATATCTCAATACCAGTTTGTGTCTGATATTAACTCCTCGTAGTTATCAGCACCTAGCAGATCTTACATGGCCTAGATAGTCCCCCCTGTTCTCTTCATTGTTTATGGCAGGGAGTATAACAGATAGAGACCCAAATGACATACCATTTCCTTCCTAAATTTATATGGAATAAATGTGTGCATAGGGGAGATATTTTGTGTTAAGTTACATCTTAAGAACTCATTTAAAAAATATACTAGATAATTTTATCTATATAAACAGCTTCATATTATCTAAGAAACTTGCCAGTAGGGATTGCCTTTCTTCAGAAATTACTTATAAAGACACAGACACAACTGTGGTATGTGGAATGCAGGTGTCAGGATGATTCCATTGTGTCCTAGCATGGCTCTAGAAAACACAGGATTTACCTTTTATGTTGTGACTTAGGGTGGATTTTGCAGGCAAAAAAACACAACAAACCCAGCAAAACTAACGACAAAATCGCATGCTATGCGATAATTTCCAGCTATTTCAAATTCAATACCGTAGTATGTGCTATTGCTTTTCTCATAACTTACTGAAAGGAGACACTAACTTAACTTCCACATTTCTAAAGATGAAAATGAAAAAAACATACTAATACAGTTAGCAGAATAGGGCCTTTGATGATCCATAACACCACTCCATTTTCATCGTCATCATCCCAACATCTGAAACAGCAAACAAAACCAGTGATGTTTTCTGTCCTACGTGAGCTTTCCACAACACATGAAAGTATTTGTCACAGAATATGAAAACCATGGACACTGAGTTTTAAATCACTGTTTAAAGGCCCCCCGCCAGAACTAGTACCCTGATACCTCTCTAAAAATTTCTGTGCAGCCCAATCTAAGGGGAAGATTATTCAATAAAAAGCAAGGGTTGAAGAACCAAAGCAAAGTCAAGAAATGCACATTTGTATTTTAAGGCTTCTTTCCTGCTCTTCTATTAAAAAAGTGACTGTTTTACAAAGTACAGATCTTAGACTAAACTGCTGTGAATCCATGAACATAACAACTTTGGGATCATGAGGTAATAGGCAAGAAAATCTAGACCCTAATAAAGGAATCCTGAAGAGAAAGAGCAGAATGGGCTTTTGGTCCCTATTTTGAGGCTGTTCACATATTTAACATCAACAACAGTCCGGTTCAACTCCCTGCAGTCAAGTGCCGTACACGCTGGGTTGTGTCATGCTCCCGCTTCCTGTATTTTCCCTTCGAGTTTGTGACACAGGATATTTGGCTGCATAACGATAAGGTTTACAGATGGTGACTTGTGCTAGTCTGACTGTAAGGTGTGTCTTTGCAATATGAGTAATATGAGTTCAGACCAGCTGTGTCTGAAGAACTTGGGTTTCCCATTTACTAAGCTATTAGGTAAAGGATGAGTGGGTCTGACCCCGTAGTTTGTTTATATATCTAATAGTAGAAGAGCAATCAAATGAATGGTTCACCTGACTGTGTAAATTTCTTCATTCATTGACCTATTGAACTACTTTTCCTCTGCAGTCAAAGGAGATCAATATAGCAGGACACAATTGATCTCATTTTAAAATAAACATCTAAAATACGTCAGAGAAGTAAACTGAGCAGGTAGACTCTTTGCTGGAAGAGCACCCAAAGTTCAGACACTTTTCAGACCCCTCTTTAAGCCTTGTCAGAGCTCTTGTTCCTGCTCTCCATCTTTCTCTGAACGCTTTCTGTAACTGGAGTATGTTCTGCCAGATTCTTCTGCTACAGATCCAACAGATAAACTCAGCAATTCTTTGGAAAAGCAGCAGTGGGAAAGAGGAAAAATGAAATCTCCCTTGCACCTCTCCTAGCTACAAAAAGGAAGCACACCATGGGGAAAAGTAGACCACTTCCACAGTGGAGAACTTCTTCCGCAGATGTTCTTCGGTAATGCGCCAAATGTGGTGGACCATAGCACATACTGCTTCTACATCATTAATCCGAGTGCTGAGCAATTGATCATCCAACTGATCATCCATGTGAAAGGCCTTCAGGGCAGCTTTTAATAAACAATCATCTGCTTTATACCTGGCTCTCGTATTAACAGATAAAAATATAAAAAGATTCAAAGAACTGAATGGAAATGAAAGAAGAAACTACTTATCAGGACATAACATGTTTGTTTGGGAGGTACTTATTTGAAGACATTAGTGTTAGTAATTTATGGCTGATTTTATAGAGAATCAGTGATTTTCTTACACTGGAATTATTTCAAGGATTAAGGATTAGGAAACTAAATGATATTTCAATACTTACTATGATATTTCCAGGTTGTATTACCCCTTATATGCACATCAGAATCAGAAGACTTAAAACTATTATCTCACTTACTTGCATATGAAGTGAAAAGAGTAGGTGCACAGCTTCAGAACATTGTTTTTTGCTTTTCTGTTTTTTATATCTTTTTTTTTTTTTTTCCCACCAGAAAATCAAAATACAATACAAAATCGGCTTCGTTATCCAAGCTCTGATTTACCCAGTATTTTGTCGATGGATTCTTGTCAGGACCCAAGCAAACATCACAGCAGTGGGAGCTCCTGGACAAATCAACATGGGACATACACATAATCATTTCGAATATCATATCCCACATCCCACAGAAACTTTATTACAAGAAGGTTCACAGTGCAGCAAATTGGATGTACATTAAAGGTCAAACAGTGGGTCAGATGATTTTAAATGACTTTATGAAAGAACTTAACTTGCAGTTCAGGTAAAGAAAAAAAATAAACCAAAAAGCAGCGGAGGAAAATGAAATCTAAACAAAGGAGAATAGGGAATGTTGTGAAACTATGTTTTCAAATATAACAGCTAAGAATTACTTGAAGTTTTGGATAGGAATTAAAAGCACTCGTGAAGCCAGAGGAATCACTTTAGCTAGAACTCTCTTATCTTGTGAATTGTGGACACCATACAACTCTGAAAGAGTTTACGTTTTTGTTCTGAGAAGCCTCTGCTAATCACTCTAGACCTATCAGTTGATAAGCATTCCATGAAAATTTAGCTAAATCCAGGAACTGGTGATTTCTAGCGTCACTTTATCTCTGCTTATCCCTCTACATTTATGACTGAGTAGTTTTGTTCCCCGTCCCATCCCCCCCCACACACACACACATAGGCCAATAAACTAGCAATTGCTTTTGTTCTCCTTCTGTGGAATTCAATTTCCAAAGACTAAGTAACTTTCAAAGCTGCCATAAAAGGGACTCTAATCTGAAACACGTGACATTTTCACTGATAAATCTATTGAAATATAGGTAATATCTTTCTAAGTATCATTTGAGATCTGTAGGAAAGTCCCAGAAGTTGTCCTTCCTAGTTTTAGACCTTTGTTCAAGACCTTTAAGCTGGGACCATATTCAGTTCAAATCCTCTGTTTAATTAATGAAGAGAAATATTTACATCCGTATCACCTAAGATCTGAGTTGCCCCTGAGACGTCTCTCACTTTCCATCGATTACAGGAGATGAGGATTACTACATTATTGAGGTGTTTCATTTGTGTCTCAAATTAGCTGTGATTAGTGAAGTCTAAGCATCTAGTTTCAGGCAATCATAATAGGAATAGCTCCAAATCAACATCCCCTTTATAAAATTCAGACTTTGAAAGTTTAATTACATCAAAAAAGTCTGAGAATCTGAAGGTGAAGGATAGATTACTATTTACTTGAGGAGTATTTGGATTTCACTCCTAAGCCAAAAATGTCAATGTAACTACTTTATTTGCATGCTTCTATTTTAGAATAGCGAAGGTGAGGTACAAGAATATCTGAGTCACAAAAACAATCCTCTGCAGTGAAAGAAATTTTATGTATCACATGCATACATTATGACAATCAGAGATAATTTTAATTACTGTATAAACTCAAAAGATTCCTTGAAGACAGAAGGGTTCTGAAAAAAAAAAATAAAAATTTTTTGATTCCTAGGCCTGAACTCACATGATTTAAGTTTAATCTATCCAATTCTGCTTACTAAAACCAAAATGTCAACTCAAAGTTAGTCACCCAAACTTCTTTAGGCAGTGGAGGAACGCAACGTGTACCCAGGATGTTATCCAGTCACATTACTCATCTTCTTGAAGACTGGATTAATCACCATCACAGCATGCATACCTCACTATTGACTGCAGGAGAAACCTGGAGAGATAGTTTAGATTAGAAGGCTAACTTTTAAATTACTGCAGTTGCTTGAAATGCATGGCAATCATAAAGACGAGGGGTGCAGTCTTTCAAGTAGACTTAGAGTGTTTCTAGTAATCCATCCTATCCTCTCCTTCAAAGTTTTGAACAGTTAAATATCAACATATGTAGAAAGGCAGAATAATGGTATGGTTTTGATATAGCAGAATGGGATGAATGGGCAATTTTCATCAGAAAGGTGGCACACTTTATAGGCACTTTTTATCTCAGAATTAATATTTTTTCTGGTTATGAAAGTAAATGTAAATACTAAACACAAAGACAAAAAGAGTACTAACCCCAGCCAGTAGATATGAACCACCATACATACTGCTTGTCTGAAACAAAGGTCAGCAAAAGCAACGTTTGCAGGTATATCCCTTCTATAAGAAGCCAGAAGAAATTGGCTAAAATACTGAACTGGAAGAATGCCACAGCAGCCTTACAAGCAACCTGGAAATGCAGAGGAAGGAAAAACTATTACTTCTGCTGCCCATTGTGTCTTGTTTCTCTACAAGTATAGGTAAAATTCAGTGTTACCACACAAGAATGAAGAAATTATTACAAGTTTTCATTAGGTTTGAGATTCCATCATTTCAATTGACTTTACTTCAGTTTTTTGAAAGGGAAACATTGACCCTCTCTTATAGATTAAATTCTTTACTGATAGAAATCATTACAGCTTCATTAGAGTCAACAGACCTGTACCTCATATATCAAAGCTGAATGTAGCACAGTAGTCTTTGGGTTTGTGTAATATTGTCTGTTTTAAGATTTTAATTCTAGGAAACTAAAGAGAAATGGGATTAAGATATCTCCATGTTCTCTTCAGGTCAAGAATTAAATGTTAAATCAAGGGTAAGAAAGAGGGGAAGTTTAGTACCGTTGACATTAGGCAGTGGTCCATAGTTTCATCTGCAAACAAAACAGCATCTTTGGTAAAAACAGCAATTGCTCTCAGGATAAAGGAGACAAACAGGTGCATATGGATGTAATTCCGTGTACAGTGGAATTTTCTGACATGGAAAGAGAAAATAACAGTTGTTCTTCAGTAGAAATTTCTTCTGGTCTCATCAAAACTCAGACAGGAATACAGGGTAACTTCAGACACCTTCCAAAGCAAATAAATGATCTGTCATTATTTGAGAAGAAGCTGGACACAAGGGAGCAGAGCAGTTATCTGTTTAAGCTAATAGAACTGCTTGTATAACTGCCCTTGAATCACCACACAGTTAAAGGAGATGCCAGAAGCAGAGACTAACTAGGAGACTCTTGAACTGTATTGCAATAATGCCTTTTAACTATTCTAAATAGCATTTTTTGTTGAGTAATTTCCCAAACCTGCTCTTTATTCCCTTTCTGGCCGGAGAACAGAATATTGAGTGGATGTCAGTCACATGTTGTGGGATGGCCACCAGAGAAATAGCTGCCTTACCCTAGACTGTCCTGTCCATGGTTTGGCCTTGAGCTGAAGGAATCTCCGTTCAAGGTTTGGACATAGCAGCACCTTGGTCCTGGGTCTCTCTAAGTGATAAGAACTTTGAGACTGCCAACCCACTCCAGTTAGGAAGTTGCTTCTGTGCTCTGCACTCCTGTCTGCAGAGCAAGCTTAAGGCTTTTGTCCAAGTGCATTGGAACCAATCAAACCCAGGGTCCATTTCCTAATATCCAACATCACCAAACATGACATTTAAATTTCTTTAAATATCTTTCTATAGCTCCCATTATGGAAACAAAGGCCTTTCACAGAGGGAATGGATAGTTTAGAATTACTGCTGGTTCAGGGGCATGAGGCACCCAGTTTATGCAGAGTATGTCCTGCTGTGGACTGGAGGAATAGTTATCTTATATTAATAATGATAACAAGTTGGAGATTCCCACTGTATTATGCCATTGAAGAGACTAAGACAGACTTCCCAGGCAGTTTTATTATTTTAACATCTGCAGGGACGTGCTACAACATGAATAAAGAAGGACCCATTGCAGAGATTCCCACTGTATTATGCCGTTGAAGAGACTAAGACAGACTTCCCAGCCAGTTTTATTATCTTAACATCTGCAGGGACATGCTACAACATGAATAAAGAAGGACCCATTG